GGGGGGTTTGGACGGGGGCCCTTAACCCGTGTGGGAAACGGAGCCCCCTTTGAAAACTTTTTTGGGGGGCCCCCCCCCCCCCCCCCCTCCAGGCAGGAACGTCTGACGAAACTTTTGCGTAAATCGACTCTTGGGTTTTGTCATGAAACAGTCTAACTGGGTGGAGCTGCCTTTGAGGTTTTCGAGGTTGCATTGAAATTTTGTGCTGCGGCGGTGGAGCCACACGCGCTGTAGCATGGAATGGAAAACAACGGAAACTCACGATCCTCTGTGACAATCGGGTTTTTGGTGGCAGGCACGGTGATCTAGTCTTGTATCTACAACTTCCTGCAACGGAATCATCGGCGTGATTCAATCTTGTTTTTTGTGGTTTTCCTCATGAAAGTGTTTGAAGGCCGCCTCTTTTTTGTCCTTGCTTCAGCCACACCCCGTCCGTCCTCGGCATTGCTATCCTGCGTCACCTCCCCCCCCCCGTTCCTCCTCTTCATTCCTGCAGGGAGCTACCGTTATGGGGTCTGCACCTGATCGAGAACACGGCTGAAGGCGAAGGTGAGAAATGTTACAGCAGTATGTGTGGGTGGAGTGGGTCACGATGAAATATTGGCATGTTTCTCTGCGGCTGTGTTCATTTTTGCGTCGTTTCACCTCAAGCACCCACCAGAACTTACCAACCTAGGCCCTCATTTCCCTTGGTATTCCGAACAGCTGGGGTAGGGGCTGCTGTCTTGGCCCTCCGGGTTCACCACACGCTGGGGGATGGCATGTCTATGGTGGGGGTGAGCCGCAGCGTGTTGGAGGCGGCTGGCGGAGGAGAGCTAGGGGCGGGCTTGAACGGCAGTTCGGCGGCGGAGGCTGTTGTGAAGCCAGCTAACAGGGGGCTGTCCAACTTCAGCACGGGAAAGGTTGGTGATCTGTCTGTCTCTCTCTAGAGTTACATGCAGCAGATTATCGCGTTGTCGTTGTTGTTGTTATTATTGTTTTGCTGCGCTCTCGTTGTGTCCT